AAGTGTTTTGGTCAGCACAATTTATTAAGAGTGAGACATCTTTATTGAGTTTCGATTTGCGTTTATCTGTACATTTGTCTAAAAGGCGTACTCCTAAATGAGGAAGACAATGTGTCAAAATCAGTTGAAGTGTGTTATCAAAAATGTGTTGAAAAAACTTTAAAAACCACTTCTTTTAATCTATCTTCATCTGATACAAACGAGTTCAGACTCTGCGAAAGAAGTGTTGCGTTTTTAATGGCTTTTAGTATAATACACACACACACACACATACACACACATACACACACACACACACACATACACACACACACACACACACACACACACACACACACACACACACACACACACACACTTTTAAGAGATAAGAGAGACACAGAGAGAGACAGAGAGAGAGAGAGAGGGAGAGAGAGTGAGAGAGAGAGAAGAAGAAGAAGAAGAAGAAGAAGAAGAAGAAGAAGAAGAAGAAGAAGAAGAAGAAGAAGAAGAAGAAGAAGAAGAAGAAGAAGAAGAAGAAGAAGAAGAGGAAGAGGAAGAGGAAGAGGAAGAGGAAGAGGAAGAGGAAGAGGAAGAGGAAGAGGAAGAGGAAGAAGAAGAAGAAGAAGAAGAAGAAGAAGAAGAAGAAGAAGAAGAAGAAGAAGAAGAAGAAGAAGAAGAAGAAGAAGAAGAAGAAGAAGAAGAAGAAGAAGAAGAAGAAGGAGAAAAAGAAGAAGAAGGAGAAGAAGAAGAAGGAGAAGAAGAAGAAGAAGGAGAAGGTTTGATTGAAACCAAAAATCCTAACAAAAATTATATCAAATCAAGAAACCAAAAAGAAATAAACCACAACAAACAATTGACTCTACCCTCGGGGCGGTGCCACTGACTGTAGTGTCTCTAGGCCATTCGCAAAGGGAGGACATTTCTTGTTCAAGCATAGTAGAATTGTAAATGGGCTGATTCATGCCATGCTCATAACTGTGCCTGATCTACAACAGGGAACTGCTGTTTTTTTCTTTTCTGATCCTTACTATTGTCATTTTCCTCTACTTCTTTTGTATGTTTGTCACTCTCTTGTGACCTGCTATTTCCGGGGTGTCTTGATAGTCGAAGGCGACCTTGTGCTGTTGAAGCTAGAGGGGTGAGAAGTCTGAGTCTGATTCCCTGTAAACACTTCTTTGTTGACACCATCCCCTTGGCGCTCATATGGCTTTTTGCAGTTGCGAGAGCCGTAAAACCCTCTACTATAACCCCCCCCCCCCAAAAAAAGAAACCCCTATTGACTTTCGCGCATTCTGAGTTTATTCGTTCAGTCTTTTGGGTGTTGACATTTTCTATGCCTTGACCTTGATCTTTACCAGCTGCTGTTCTGTGGGATTTTCTCACAGTTTTCCTGCCAAAGGTATCCTTGATGAGCTGGGCAAATTGTGGAGAGCGAAATGGAAGGCTTTACAAGCACACCAACCGAGAGAACTCAAACCTGAAAAGAGCAGAGACGGAAGATTCAAGACTATTCAAGGTCGTGGCGAAAGAGGCCAATGAAGCCATTTACATTTACGAGAATTTAAAAAATCGAATTTCGCAATGGTGTGTCGACAACAACGACCGACTCCAGACCGGCAAGGCCTCTCTGTGCTGTAATGCTCACTGAATAATCCCTCAGTGAAAGCAGAGGAAAAGCCACAGGGCCAGATAATATTCCAGTTGAAGTGATTGTCGCGCTCGAAGAACTAGACACTGAAATAACAACAAAGCTCCTAAATGCTATTTATGACAGCGATGAAATCCCAGAAGATATGATGAAGTCAGTTTTTATAGCTTTACCTAAAACACCAGGTTCCACTGAGTGTGATATGCATAGAACAATTAGCCTTATGAGTCATTTTACAAAAATATTGCTGCGAGTAATAATGGGAAGATTGAGAAGAAGTGTAAGGCCAGAGATATCTAAAACACAATTCGGCTTTGTTCCTAACAAGGGCACCAGAAATGCTATATTCACCTTACAAATGTTAATGGAAAGATGTATTGAAGCACAGAAAGATCTGTATTTATGCTTCATAGATTATTTAAAGGCGTTCGATAAAGTTAGACATGATGAGCTATTTAAAATACTGGAAAAACTAGACATAGATGGAAAAGATCTAAGAATTATCAGAAATTTGTACTGGGACCAAAACGCTGTTGTACGAATTAATGGAGAATACAGTGAATATAAGCAGATTAGGCGAGGATGTGTTATGTCACCAGACCTCTTTAACATGTACAGTGAAACAATCCTTAGAAACATAGAAGAATGTCCAGGCCTCAAAGTAAATGGAGAAAATATTAATAACATCAGGTATGCAGATGACACGGTTTTAATAGCAGGCTCCGAAAAGGACCTTCAATTGCTTCTAGATGCTGTTGTAAAAGAAAGAAAAGAAAGTGAACGTGAAGGATTATTGTTGAATGTAAAGAAAACAGAATGCATGGTAATATCCAAAAAAGCAGCAAATCCTAGTTGTAATCTCATTAGCAAAGGTGAAAAGATCAAACAAGTCCAACAGTTTAAATATCTAGGATATATAATAACATCTGATGCCAAATCTTCCACAGAAATAAAAAGGAGAACTGCAATGGCTAAGGCTGGTTTCAATAAAATGAGCCCAATCCTGAAAAATAGAAACATATCAATGAACACCAAAATGAAAGTCCTGAAATGCTATGTTTGATCAACCCTTCTATATGGCAGTGAATGCTGGACAATCACTAAAGACAGTGAAAATAAAATAGAGGCAACAGAAATGTGGTTTCTTAGGAGACTGCTAAGAGTATCGTGGAAGGAAAAGAAATCAAATGAGGTAGTGCTTGATGAAGCCGACGTGGGATGCTCAATGTTAAAAACAATCAGGAAACGACAAATGCAGTTTTTGGGACACCTGAATAGACATAAGGGTCTTGAACATCTAGCTCTCACTGGCAAAATTGAGGGCAAGCGAGGCAGGGGTAGGTCCAGAACAACATACTTAGGGAACCTAAATAAATGGGTAACAGGGAAAGATCAGGGAAACGCAGCTTTTCTGAGAGCATCCAAGCAAAGGAATGAATGGAAAATCATGATCGCTGATGTCTGTCGCAGATCTGACACTGGATGATGATGATGATGATGATGATGATGATGATGATGATGATGATGATGATGATGATGATGATGATGATGATGATGATGAAAGCAGAGATGGCCACAGTCGCCATCAACGGCAGGGTCCTGAGGAGTGAACACTCACTGGGGTATCTAATTATTACACAGTAAACTGACAAATTTGCATTTGAGTGAAAATTGGTAATCTTGTTATTGCATGTATTACATTTAATGTCTTTTTCAGGTTCAATTCATATTAGTGGGTTGTGGTAAAAAGCCCTCTTAGGTCCTATTTCTTTACGTTCCTTCTGTTGTTCCCTTCTGTCTGTTTGTAGTTCCCCCCCATCCCTGAATGACGACTGATGTGTCATGTGCTTCTCCTTTGTCACACAAGCAAACAAACAAACGAGTAAAAAAAGCAAGTCATATTACTGTTTTCACAAAGGTTTAGTTTTCCACTTCTCAATGAGCGTGTATCCAGCTTGACGCGCAACCTGAAAGGTCATTTGAGTTTGGCCTCATGAGCGAAAGAGTTTGATGTATTTTCTGTAGAAAACATAAAGCTCATAATTACATAAGGCGCAAGAAAGATGTCTTGATGCAATACAGATCCTGTTGTACTACAGATCCTGTTGTACTACAGATCCTGTTGTACTACAGCTACAGTAGCAAGACTGGGTCTTCTCACGACCAGCGAAAGTTACGAAACTATTCAGTTTTACGTAGACATGAGCTGTCGGTTATTTTGACGAAAGTCTCAATCAAGACCATTCCCCTTGGTTCATTTCTTCCTCTGACATAATATGCACTTAGTTTAAGGGTTGCAACTAGGGTTTAAAGATAGGGGGATTTGGCACCGAAGTTGAGGATTTGGGTTAGGGTTTAGCATTTAGAGGTAAAATATTCGTAGTTTAGTATATTCATCAGGACCATGTACGATGAAATGGTTGGTGGTAGGCTTACGTTTATCATTTATTGTTTCAACAGAGGTTCACGTTTTGTACGAAAAAAAAAAAATAAGGGAATATCAAAATGTCTCCCATATTTTAAAATAATTTCCTAGATTATGTTCATGGCAGAACTCATAAGATTTATTTTCTTCTAGGTTCTTTGTTGTTGTTTGATCTTGTTTGTTTTTAACTTTTCAATCCACATAAATAAAAGAAAATATTAGGTGGTGGAATTGCGGTATGGTGGTGGGGGGTGGGGGATGGGGGTGGAGTGGAGGATACTAGCCGGACGAAGTCAATGACGTGTTCGAAGACATAAATCCATAGTAGGTCACTGTCTGTTTTTAAATCTCCCCGGTGCTTAACCTTATATGTGAGGCAGCGTGGTGGAATCAGGCTCTCGTCAAAATACTCAAAGTAAGTGAAGAAACTTGCATTTTTCGACAGGTTTGTGAATTTTTTTCAAATATTTGTTTTTTGACTCAACACCTTTCATGCCCATTTAAAAACTCATTTCTGTATGGATTTTTCTGAAAAACGTTGATTAAAGGCACAAAAAAGTAAATTTTCAGTTACCACAGACTCTTAAGCTAAGGAAATAACTAATGGAAATTGGTGGTCATTTTCTCATTTTCGACTTGTATTTACAGTAAATGGATTTTTTTCTCACCCAAATAAAGACAAATGAACAAACTTTAAGATGATAAAAATAACTCTAAGATCTACATGACCAAAAATTGACGAGAGCCTGATTTCACCACGCTGCCTCACATATTTTTTAACCCTTTGTCGGAAATAGGTTAAAAAAATGCATTAGCTCGTACATGATAAAGTCACTTCGACATGTTTTCAATGTAACCTGTATAACGTGGATGCCAATAAATGGGTGAAGTGTCCTAACTTAAGACTTCGAAAGACATTACGGTTATTAGGTTTTTATGGTTTGCCAACGCTGTTGAGGGTAATGTCGGGAAGTATAGACCTATTTAGTGACACCACACGTCTGTCTAGCTTTTCAACGAGGTAGGATGTTTATTCAATCGATCATTTTTGGGTCTTTTTGGGGATCAAGTATTGGAATTTATTCGAGAAAACCCTCCGAGAAATGGGATATGAGCAGCCTGTATAAATATTTGCTGTCGTTTTCGGCAACAAAGTAATAGTCACTAGAATAATGGTAGTTGACTTTGTAGGCCTATAAATACTCCCTAGGCCACATGCTCAGCAAGTCACAACCAACGACCAAAATCAACCACCAACAATGATGCTGAAGACCCTCCTGTGTGTGTCTGCTTTCTTGCTCATCGGCGTGAGTGTAAGTACATGGAGTAGGAAATGGTTGGTCTGTTGCCATGTTCTGTTTTAAATTAATACTCTAAAAGCTAGCATCGCGGCCGCGATTTTTTGCATTTATTGGTCCGCGAATCGCGGCCGCAATTTTTGCATTTTTTCAACAAAAAACCAAGAACGAAAAGAAAAAAATTATTTAAAAACAACAACAAAAACAAAAACGGGGAAAAACATTCGTGAAAAAAAAAGAAAAGAAACCGAACCTCTTTACTTTTTGAAAGAAAGTTTATTTTCACTTTCGCTTCACTTCGTCTCTTTCTCACTTGTTAACACTACGTTGATTTGTAATTTTCATGTTTCCCTCTTTGTTGTATTTTAATTTGTTGGTGTGTTAATATTTTACTTCTCGTTAGTGTTCTGGTGTGTGGTTTTTCTATTTTTTGTGTAAATTTAGCGCAATGCTCTTCCATCCTTTTAACAAATGTGTTATGTCCGAGCGTGTCTCCACCAAAACCGAATACTGACACTGGCAGGCCTATTGTGTGTGATTCCATAATTTACATGTTATATCCTGTACTTTTTCTGGAATTGCACACATTTAGGGTCACAACGGCCAGTCTATGGATGGGTTGACACACACCCTTATTTACTAATTTTTGTGGTTGTTTATTTGCTATTCTTATTTTGATTTCATTTTGTTGTGAAACCTTTATTTTTCACGTTTTTACACTCTGTGTGGCTACAAATTATATCCTGGATGCTTAAAACAGAGCACGAGAAATTCTAGAGTTTTAGATTAAGTTACCTCTATCAACACATTGCTATACAAGTCGTCACAGAGCGTTGAAAGCTTGAAAATTAATGGCAACTTTTTGGGCAACTTTTGCCATTTTTGTGGCACATTTTGGCAACTTTTGGACAAAAAAAGGCAACAAACGCAGATGCTAGTAAAAGGAATATACACCATGAGCGTTAACATTCATATTATTACCTCGGGAGACCTGATACCGTTTTGAAACAATCTGAACTTTCTGGGAATCATAGGCTACAGTGTAAGCTGTTATTTTATTATAAGAACCTTCATTCTCTCCCTTACAATGACAATGACAATGACAATGACAATCTTTATTCATCTCGCAGGGAGAAATTTGTCTTGGTCGTTAACAATGGCAGTAGACGTTACAAAGGTTAGACTTAAAGGTGCACTCACGCAAACGCACAACAAGACAGGACATTATGCCAAGTAAATACATGTCTCACGGGCTGGGACAACCCGCTCCGTAACACATTCATTCTCTCTCTCTCTCTCTCTCTCTCTCTCTCTCTCTCTCTCTCTCTCTCTCTTTGTTTCATCTGTAGCACTGTGTTCAGTAACCTCACTGCAGTTGATACGAATGAATTTCTATATCTGTCTGTTCTTGCTTTTTTGGAAATGTATCGTTTACTGCGGGTCGATAGTTGAAATTCCGATGTCAGTGGGTGGCTATGGTCACTAAGCATTATTTCCGCCTTTTTTAGAACGTTTGTCTTGTGCAGATATTCAAAGTTACTTAGGTCTTTATCAATTGTTCTTGATGCCTCTTTTATCAACTTATTTAGTTTTATAATGTGCTGCCTTCCCAGATTGCTACCATAGCAAGTGATTCCAAAATTGATCAAAGTTTCTATTGTGGTAGTGTAGAAAATCTGAAGGATGGATGGATTCAGATTGAAAGACTTTAGTTTCCTCAGAAAGTACAGCCTCTGATTTACTTTTTTAACGATATTGTTTACGTGGTTTTGCCATGTAAATTTGTTGTCTATTGTAAGGCTAAGATATTTGTATGAATCCGTGATTTCAATAGTTTCTTGTTCAATTACGAGTGGTGGGATTTTTGGTTTTTCTCTTCTAAAATCAAAAATCATTTCCTTTGTTTTTGAGAGGTTCACTTTTAGAAAATTTGAGTTGCACCATTTAAAAAAACCTACATATTTCTTCGAAATACTCTTTTTCATCATGGTTTATTAATCCAATAAGTGCCTCCAAGACAGGGCAAGAAATGCAACGATTTACGTGTATTAATAAAGAGAATATTGTCTTTGGAGTCATTGTCGCCAATCTTGTCGTATTGTCGACGTCGTTGTGGTTGTTGTGTCGTTATCGCTGTCGTCGTTGTTTTTGTTGCTATAGTTGTTGTTGCTCTTATTCTATTTGGTACTGCTAAAGCCGATCTTTTGGTCCATTCCGAAAACGGCGGTATCACACGACAGTATTGGTATCTCATAACACAGTTGTGTAAACGGTACCAGAAAAAGACCAAGGAGGAAGAAGCAGACGTAGCCTAAGCTTGTTTCACTAGCGATTAGCGTGTGCTCTGGTGTGGTTCTGTTCTTCTTTCCTATCATGTTATCATTCACCTAACGCCCTTATCGATGTCTCCTCCTTTTTGTGTTGGTTAACTCTCTTGAAACACCTAGGTAGCCTAGTGGTTAGGGTCCGTAATCATGAGATTGTGGGTTTGAGGATTCGAGCGTCAGCTCGGTCCGATGGTGTGTCCTTGGGAAAGGCTCTTTCCACGAAGTTCCTATTTGGTTCAGTCCTTTGAGAGTTGGACGTTAAATTTGGAGCCCCCCCCCCCCCTCGAAGATAACTTAAGAGTATTGATAGCGGCGTAAAACCAATACCATTTAACCACTTTACTCTCTAATCTTCGGCACACATATGACCTTAATGTGTTGCAAGTGCGTAAAACTCTCACTATTTTTTTAAATTATAGAAATAACGTGCTCCTTCATCCAACAATATTGTCATCCACAGGCAAAGGTGGGTGAGGTGTGCAAAGATGAAAGCACGTGCGACGATGGAGAATGCTGCCTGTATCAATTCACATTCTTTTCGCGCTCGGATAATGGTGAGTCATGGGCTCAGCTAAACGTGGATGTGACGAAATAGCAGATTATTATGCTCTAATAGGGCATACAAGTAGCCCAGGGTAAGGAGATGTCAATATACAGTTTGATCGTCTTCCATTGAAGTGTGGAATACATGAGCGCTAATTGTTGAGTGTCCCGACGTCTGTGGTGTATCGGTTAGACGTTTTGCTATCGCACGAAAGACACCTGAATTCCATTCCCGAGTGGGGAGAAATTTTGGCGGAGTATCTCGGACTTTCTTTTGAGATATTGTATCCCTCCTCTAAGCCCGGACTGGCTCTAAATGATCTAAATTGTGTGAACGGGGGCTTAAAACACCTACATTAAAAAACAATAAAATAAATGTGTAGTCGGTGCCAACCACATTTTCCATCACAGAGAGGCAAAAGTAAAAACTACAATTTTGGGGCAATGCGACGTAATCCTACTAAATTCAACAGTGATCTTCAAATTCAAACACGCTTGTTTTTCAAGGTCACTAGCTGTATGTGTCGAAGTTTCGGGTGAGACACAGCCAACCATAAGGCTTGTAGCCTACGAGTCACAATGTCAAGGTCATTTTTGTTTGTTTGCGGGCGAAATGCAATAAATAAATAAATACTTATCCTTTTTTAATATAGAGAAAGACGTTGGCGGTCATATGGCCTCATGCAGTTGCGAGAGCCGTAAAACCTCTACTAAAACTAAAACTAAAAGAGAAAGACGATGTTGATTTGGACCGACTGATAGAAGGCTATCGAATTTCCCCGGGTCTGTGTGATTCATGAACCTGTGAAAATAACAACTGCGATAACTCGCGGCTGTCAGAACTTGAGGCCATTGTTAGAGGAATTGGCCACGGCTGTGTTGTAAAGGCAGGACTCAGGGATACAATAACGCCATGTCTGCACCAACAATTGCGTTTCTTTGTCCTCAGAGGTCAACGTTTTCTGGTGTTAACTTCCGGGGTAAATTTTATGTAGCAGGAGGCACGGGGTAATTAGTACTGTGCACACAGAGAGAGAGAGAGAGAGAGAGAGAGAGAGAGAGAGAGAGAGAGAGAGAGAGAGGGGGGTGAAAGAAAAAGAGAATGCATGTACACACTTTAGCCAGTAACCAGTATGTGTCCACTGGCTGCCATTCAAAAATAAGAAAAACTCAGTTATGGACTACATTGAAAGGAAAAACGGTCTCCATTGGAGTCGTCATCTTTTCTTTGTTTATTTTCCGTTCTCAAATACTCAAAAACCTTTTCGAAGAAAGTATTTTGAGCAAGGATTAAAAAAAAAAGAAAGAAAAAAAAAGCCCCACACCCAACAACAGCAATAACAACTCAAAACCAACTGTTCTGTTTGCAGGAACCTGTCAAAAGTATGTGAAGGAAGGTGAGACCTGCGACATACAGGCAATGTGGCGCGGAGAATCGTGCGCTTGTGAGACAGGAGTCTACTGTTACTCCACGCCTCTTGGTAAGTACATTTGAGCCACGACTTGCCAATCAAGTTTTTGGCATGTTACAAACAACCCCTCCCAAATCTATTAAGTACCAAAGCGGCAGGAAAATGCCACGTTCTTTTTCTTTCGATTTCATTATTCTGACATTTGATTTCACCACGATGCCTCACAATTTACTCGTTTCTTGGGCTCCTTTGAAGAAAAAATAAGAGAGCAGTGCACCCGATGACTTGTTTGAAAAACTTGTCCTGTACTCTTCGGTTTTAGTAAAAGTTTGACGGCCCTTGCGATAGGTCATATTAGAGTCAGAGATTAGAGAAGTTGCTAGAAAATAACATACAAAGAAAAGAAAGAGGAGAGATAGGGACCAATAAATTTTAATGTTTAATAAGAAGGAAGAAATAGTGGGTGGTTGGCGGATGCTCTGGTGTGGTTTGCTCCTTCTGTCCTGTCAAACATCTGTCGTCCTTCTCTCCCCTCCTTCTTTTTTGTGTATGTTACTCTTTTGTAGCACATAATCTATTCTTCGGCACTTATATGACCTTATTGTGTTGCAAGTGCCGTAAAACTCTTACTAAAACTTTAAAAAAGGAAGAAATAAACGTAGTGTAAAGCGCAAAGACCCTGCTGTTACTGTTAGTATGATTTTACGCTAGATACTCAGGCTATTTGTTGTTGCTTTTGTTTTCACCAAATTTCTTCCTCATTACTTCTTGACTAAACCATCCAATGTTGAATTAATATTGTGAACTTTCCCATGTCTTTGTTTCAATTCAGGGAACGCGAAGACCACTGTGTGTGAGAAGCGAAGACCCACCCCCAAATACAGACATCACTAGTGGTGACTAAAAGGGAAAAAAATGTCTAGGCTGACTTTCGGCACAGCTTAATGATGGACTGATTCATTGGAGTGTGCTGCGGTCTTGAAACATGTCACATAAAACCCCCCAGAAAATTCCCAGATTTCAGATTGTTGGATGTGTTGTTTTTTTCTTCTGTTTTTGTTTTGCTTTGCTTTCTGTTGTTTTTTTGTGGTTTTGTTTTTTGTTCGGTATAGTTTTTTGTTGTTGTTGTTGCTGATGTTAATAATAATAGTAATAATAATTGCATTTATATAGCACTTATCCATGCTCAAGAGCTTGCTCTATGCGCTTTACAACTATTATTACCCTGGCAGACCCCCTGAGAACTCCCAGAAACATTCTCGGCTTCCGCGGAAGCATACAGTGCAAGCTGCGGATTTCACGCGCTCAAACACTATCAAACTGACAAGATCGTTCACTGTCTATAGCCGGGTACCCATTTCCACATGGGTGTAGTGGGGAAAATTTGTGCAAAGTGCCTTTCCCAAGGATTCGAACCTTACGGTTGCGAGTCCGAGAGGATAACCATTAGGCCACCGACGTTGTTGTTGTTGTGTTATGGTTGTATTTGTTTAATTTATCACAGACCAGTTTTGTTTCCTGTAAGGTATTGGTGGTGTCGGTAATCTAGTGGTTAGGTTGCCGGTCTCATAATCTGCAGGTTTTGGGGTTTTAGGCTACCTCTCTCCACCCTCCTCGTCTCTCTACCTTTTTGGTAGGTAAACAGGGCCCTTTCAAGTATTTCAGGGGCCCTGGGCACTCAGACCCCAGGGGGCCCCTTACCTTCTTGATACAAGTGAAAGGTTAAGTCTATACCATGTGTCTGAAAAAACTTACATTTCTTTATCACATAACAGCTATCAATGACATACACATACATGTAAATTACATTGTTAATCACCTGTTCGTGCATTGGCGTTATCTTCTCTCCATAAGACAGTGAGAGACGCGTGAAAAAGATGTGATGTCGATCTGTCTAGTCTAATCATCAGGGTCAATGATTCGATAACCGTCTGAGCTCTTCAACTTCGGCATGATGGCATGGCCATATATTTTGACAGCCTTTCTTAGTTTTTCACTTCTCGATTTTCTGTTAAATATTGCACTCTAGGGCAACACTTGCACTTTTCGAGACTTCCTTGAAGAAAATTCATTGATCACTGGATCAAAGTCACCTCTTTTTAAAACCTCGTGTTCAATGCACATCAGTGCTATGGAGTTGTGCTCTTCATTTGGCTTTTTTATCAGCTTCAGTCTTGAAAACGATCTCCCCCCTCCACAATTAGTTTCCATCATTGACATGAAAATTCGAAGTGAAATTTCAAAGTTTGGGAAAACACTTTTCAAGTCATCTGTGTTTTTCATACACAGCAGACAACGGTTCACAAGTTTCACCTAACAGAAGCTTCAGATGGCCACATTCTTTCACTAAACCTTCCAACTCTATGTCTGCTTGATAAATATTATACGGTGCCTGGCATTTTTTTCTAAATGTCAGAGAGTGACCGGGTTTTTTAGATGGTTAAAAAAGGAGAACAGATTTTCTTTAGAAGAGTATGCATTCCCTCCCCGTGTTAGTTCTGCAATGAGGGTGTCATTGATCGGTAAAATGACTCAATTTTGAATTTTTCTCTCACGTTGAGAAGCACTTCTTCCCCTGGTCCATCCTTGCTGGTGAGGCGCTGGCCTCTTTTCCGCTCTCGCCTGACTTTTTCAGCACATTCCAAATCCGGAAACTCTCATTAGCCTTAATTTCATACAAGGGAAATTCCTCACGATGTTCTTGAGAATATGCTATCAAAGATTCGAGAAGTTTGGCAGCATAGTCAATGTCCATGTCCTCTGCCTAGAGAAAAGTACTTGCTTTTTGGGTGTGCTCGAGCACATCTCTCCATAGCAGCAAAAGAACGATCGTTTCCTTCTTCCGCATTTTGTTGCTAAATCCCC